CAGCTCTCCGAGTGTTGGGCAAATCGGGTGGGGGTGCACGCTCACCTTCTGGATGACGGAGAAGAGACGGGCGCGCTTTTCGAAGTTGATGAGGTTGTGGACCTTGGTGCGCGATGGAATGCCGTCCTCGATGAGCAGGATGTCTCGCAACACCACGTCTGTTATTCACAGACCCTCACGATAAGCTACATTTCGAACGCTTGTTTTTCTCGCGGGAAACGCACACGACACACACGACACGCACGACACGACGATGGACGCACCAAGATAGGGAAGGAGAGGGAGATGGCCTTCATCCACAGACTTCTGGAGGCTCTCCTTGTAGGCCAGAGCCTCGCCTTCGCGCGGGGGTATGAGCTTGACCAGATCCGAGAAGACCTGAAGGACGGCGTTGCGGTGAGAACCAAAGAACGAAGCGAACCAAATAATAATAATATGATAAAAAACAAACGAAAAATGAAAGCGAAGAACGAAGGTTGTCGTGGTGTACGCTTTGGGTCTGGAGGGGGATTTCGGAAAAGGCGCGGTTGAGGGACTGGACCGGCGGCAGGTTGAGGCCCGCCAGCACCGCGAACAAGCTGTGGAAGTTGTTGAGCTGCCTCAAATGCTATCGTGTCGTGTCGTGCACCGGCCACCGTTAGCTTTGACTCTTTCTCGCTCCGGTCGCACGAACGGGTCGTATCTTTAAGGGGGGGGGAGGGCGCACCTTGGCGATGTCGATGAACTTTTTGATGAGCTTGACTCGTCGGCGGGCCTTGTCCTGGGTGAGGATCTCGGTGGCCACCCACAGCGACACCTCCTCGTAGGCCTTCATCATCGCAATCACATTGGGCGCCTGCACAACCAAACACATACACGCAGCAGAGATTGAGTCGGCTGTGCACATGTGTGTCGTGTGTGCGGTGTGTGCGGTGTGTGCGGTGAACCTTGAAGCGGAGGTGAGGATCGAGCCAGGACTTGTTGAGGAATTCGCTGGGCTGGATGGCTTGGTAGAGCTCAAAGTGCATGAGGGTGAGCTGCCGCGCGATCTCCTCATCGTCGATCTGCTTCGTCGTGAGCTTCGTCGAGAAGATCTTGACCGGCACCTGCACACCGCCCGCCGTTAGGAGCTGCGAAACACGACACGCGCACAACACGCACACGCAGGGCACACAGCGCATGCCCGCACGTGCCTTGGCTCGGGCGGCTCGCTGACGAACTATTCGTCCATGCGGTGGAGAGCTTGTTCTTGTTGATGGCGGCGCGGAGCGAGTGGG